GACTCGTCCGGTGACTATGCCTTGTTGCCGCCCGACGGGTCTGCTGTCGAATATCACAAAACATTGCTATACTAGCAGCTTTTAAGGTTGGAAAGGCAGTTCTGCAACCCTCTCCTTCCAATTTTACTAATCGTTGGAAATTTCTGGGTAAAAATTATGAAAACCAACAACAAGGTGAACGATGATTGGTGATGAAAGGGAGGCTCAACTAAAACTTCTTCAACGTTCTCATTGTGGCGGTAGGGAAGAACTCTGCAGAGCTTCAGAATTTGCCCGGGGCAGTTCATCACAAACACCACAGCAACAATATTTGCTATCTCGCTAACGACATTGCGGGGATCGCTCACGATCTCTGTCACGACATATCGCGAAGTGAGGCCGTCACAATTCTGGAGCTGAGTAAGGACCTCTGCACCATCCAGCGTATTATTCAGTGCAATCCTCACCGAATAAGGGTGGGAGGAGCCGTTTAGGAAAAAAGCCACCATGGTTCTGCGGCTCCCGCATGTGTCCCTAAATCATGCAAAAAACTGCTTTGGAACACAGGGCACACCCTCAAGGATTTTCCGGGTAAGATCTCACGTTCTCAAAATTTTCATACAACATGTGAAAGGGACTTTCTGCTCTGCGAAGTATGTCGTATAACCTCTTCTTATATTGATTACGAACTCACTGAGTTATAGACTTGCAAAATGGGATCCCCACTAGAGGAAAATTCGCCAAACCGGCAGCGAAAACAAACTCTGTGTTCTTCCGAAATGAAATAATAGTGATGTGTCGTGTACTCAGTCACAACATCTTAACAATTCACTATTTATTCCTCCAAAAGTCGAGGTCTTTGAAGTATCGATCTTTTTTGAAGTTCCGCTTGTCCTACTACCGCCATACCGTTCTGACCGATATCAAGCCCAATCTAAGCCCCAAAGTTTTTGGAACCAAAATGTTCACCCTAAAACGTCATGTTCCAACTGGAGTGTCCAACAATTTGTACCTTTTCCTTTTTTCGAATTTGGTTGTTCAGCCAGAACTCAATGCTTGACCGATATCAAGTCGAATATAAGCCCCAAAGTTTTTGCCGCCAAAATATTGGGAACTGACGAAACGTTCAAAGTCAGTCTCAGCTAAAATAAGTACGGGGCACATCACTGGTCGATTTTTCGACTGGCCTAAAATTTTGTCATAACGAAAGACAAAGCTAAGTGTGAATGCGAGTGAATCATAAAAAGCGCTTCTGAGTGATGTGTGAAATGATGTAAAAACATAAAGTTCTAGAAAAAAAACTTGTTTATACAGGGTGTCCCATAAATATTGTGAGGATAAAATACTCTGCCAAATATCCGCAAAGCGTGTTGGAAGCAGCTTATCCGCGCAACTCTATCAAGTGCAGTGGCTGCCACGTCATTTCCGGTGACACGCCCAATCACACTCCGAGATTTCGACTGTACATAAGTGAAGAGCTAAAGTGTTGTAGTTGACTGTGTACTTGAGTCAAATTTAATATCGAACACAGGTAGTATAATAAAGTAAAGAAAAAATCAAGAAGGTCTCCATGTCCGCCTTTCTTGAAACCTGGGCATTTGTTCTTGAGTAATTAGTTGTTGATATTATGCCAAACAGGTTTGATATGGTGGAATTTTTTATTCAGCCTAACGTTTCGACAAATTCGTCGTTGTCAAAGGCCTGAAAGCGTTCCGAAACAATCGAATGCTGCTTACCCGCCTAACATGAACCAGAATTTGGCCAAGTGCCACCCATTTTTATGAACCGCGAAATGGAATCTATAACAAGCGTTACTCACCTCAACTCCACCAGCGCCGATACTCGCTCAGCTCCCTTCAGCGATTAATAATACCAGTAGAATAAATGAGACCAACCGGTCATGCACTGCTTATAAAGAGTGCACGTGCAGTGCATTATATCCCCGCTATCACAGCTTGCAGAGAGGGATATAGGGCAAGAAGTCGGCAGTTATAGAGATGCATTCATTTCTGTTGTTCATGCATGGATTGCGCTGCCTTATATGGAAAGCTTCAAGGGTCTTTCTAGCACCGATGTCGTTCTCGTAAGCTAGTATCGTGCACTTGACGTCAAAGTCGTCGCCAGCATGAGCTTCCCTTCTGTGCTTACCGAGAGGTGCATTCGTGCTTTCCCTTCTTTTGCTAGCTCAAATCAAGAAGGATTGAAGAAAATTAAAACGAAAGGAAAAGAAGAAAGAAAGGAAACTAACTGAAGACACACAGGCGCCTGAAGCAGTAAATGCCTAAAACCTCGCTCGAATTTGTCGCGTGATTTCCGGCCCACGGCAAGCCACATGTACGACGTCCCCCGAGAGCTACCGGAACCTTTCTTCACTGCATAATCTTGACGCCTTCCACTTTAAAGAGATTTCCTCCACCTCTTCTCCATTTCCTCCTCTCCCCTCTCCACTGCTCTACCGCCAGTGTTGCACAGTGTGATCCCAGGTAGTAGGTTTTAACATATCACTGTTTTGTTACCACAAACGATGCCCATGCACAACACACGTGATAGGGCAAGCCCTGCGAGCTACCCAGATTTGTTAGCGGCCTGTTTACTCCATTGGCCGCCTTATCACTCACTTCATTTTGCGGACGGACAGACAGACGTGCATACACACAAACAAACCGACACACCAAACTTCTGGTTTATATAATGAAGTGATCCAGTTTTATCGTAGGGAACTTCTTATGGGAACAAAACATGGTTTCTCATCGGATAACCAATAGTTTAATATTAGGTCGGTCAAAAAGTATCCGCCGTTTTGCATCTCGATTAGTCCCCTGCATTTTTTGATAGCTTTTTTCGCAACTATTCAAACAACTTGGGTGTCATCTTATAGAGGAAGATCAGCCCTTTCATATTCATACGAAGGTTCGAGGTGATTCCGAGAACATTTGTCGTTTTACCCTCCTTTTTAGGATAAGCAAAATCGTGATTTTCGATTGTTGCCACTTCATGTCTTCAAACTTGGAATAGACACGCCAGGGCCAGCTCGTAATATGGCGACTGCATTGAGAAGGAGTGCTGCTAGGAAACGCATAGCGCAAGATTAGCTCGGCAGGCTTGGGCCTGGAGAAATAAAGCTCGAAAGTGATGCGCGTAGTATAAGGAGTGCCCTCAATGTACGGGATTGTAAAAAGAAATGAAAGAAGCTTATCACTGATACCCAACTACAGGTGTGGTATTAGAGGTTGGGTCTCTAAAGGCACCGAACTCAGCCTGGTGGACGCTGTGAGAAAGCAGGAAAAATGTCGTCAATCTATTCACCGGAGTAACCCGTGCTGGCAGCTTTAGCAGTTGCGACGCGCGTGGAGGTGTGTGCTTGGACTCTTCCTTGCAACAGTAAGGAACAGTTTTCAAGATGGGTAATAGTGTGGGGTAAGACTATGCTTCTGCACGCTAACAGTGAAAGGGTTACCAAATATGTGGACGAAACCAAGCTGCCTTGGAACGCTGCAAAACCTGGAGCGCCTCCAATAAGGATTTTCCTCAATTTTCGATGGCCTAGCTCATTTCAAAGTCCGAGAATTGACTCATTCGACGACGGCCGAGTCCTGTCGTAAAGAGTAGAACATAAAACATAAGAAACTACGGGGATGATAGTCTGCTTCAAGGAAAAAATGAGGTCCAGTCCTTCACCACGATAGCGCTAAATCGCCCACCGCAAAATACGCTCTGTAGAATCCATTCAGAAATGGCTCAGAAGTTCTTTTGCTATCCTTTATATAGCCCAGGTACATCTTTCACGAACCACCAATTCTCCGCTTTTCAACATAGTTCTTGGAGGAGATCAAGGAAGGCACCTGCAGAGGGTCGACGTTTTTCTCGATTCTTCGCCATCATTTGTCACACGACGAAGATGGTATCCGTTGTAGACCTTTCAGGCATGAACCCGAACTGCCTTCGGGAGATGAGCACCAACCCCTCAGCTTTCAGTCGTAGCGTCCAGCATTGAAAAGCAATGGCTAGCTCACGTAGGCAACAAAAGACCTTTACGATCACAACCAGCGTGACTTAGCGGCCGTAGGCTTAAGAGGAGGGGATTCTGCTGTAGCGCTACCTCGGCCATTGCCGATATTCCATCGAATTGAAAATTCTTAAGAGATTTGGTATGACCTAAAATCACGACTCGTTTTCACCCCAGCCGCTAATAATGAGTGGTGATAATCTCTGTAGCACAATCAGCCGTAGCGTCCGACAGATTTCAAGATTTCTCACGATCTCCCTCCCCCACGGGTGTCTTGACACAATCCCCCTCCCCCACGAGTGTCTTGACACGATCCCCTCCTCCCCCTTGTCACTGTCGTGTGTATAAATTTCAATAGATACATTCGAGATCTACGAGCTTAAAGTACGAAGCTTGACTTTTGCCTACATTCGTGCGGTAAACTGAGGGCATTGCCTGAAATCAGAAGGAAAATGACGAGCATGATGAGAGTACAATTTGAATCGAATTAGATCATATCCGTAGGCTCAGCCATTCATCATGAGAAGGGATCGTACTAGCTGGCTTTCACAAGCTGTAGGAGAATCAAAAAGGTTTCAAGTGCTCTCGCGACTTCGAACTAGAACTGCGTACGTGGCGCATCACACGGAATGAGCAATTGGCGCTAGTCGTTTCGTATTAAATTTAACATTCGGTGATTTCCTTTTCTAAGCAGCTAATGTTTTATTGTAAGGTGTTAGGTGTTAGTGTACGTCTCATCAGAATAGCGGAAGCAGAGGTTGCTCTTCGTTATCTTCGAGGAGGTCGATATCATCTTTTGGCTTCTTCAGCTTCTTCGTGGCTTGGCTTCGTCGCCAGTCACCGACAACGCCCCACATATCGAAAACGAGTTCTTCAGGGAATTCGAAGACGGACAATTCGGACTAAAATCAGAATTCATGCTTTTGTTGTTTACTGTGCTGTTTTGTAGGAAACGGTACCCTGTGCAGGCTACCTCCGCGCCTACCTCTCGGACAGCTTTGTTCATCTGTGGAAGTGTTTCACACGACATAGCCAGATCCCACAGAGATTGAGCCATCTGGTCATCCTGCACACCGAGGTACGAATCGAGTATATCATTGAGACGGCCAATCATCGCTTTGTCGACAGCTTTCTGTAATTTCAGCGCTCAACGAATCGAATATCATTGAAAGTCGGCTCCATATAATCTCAATAATATTACCTCTTCGATCACAACACCACCATTAGCCTTGAATCGAAGCGTACGCATCCCATCGTTGATGGACTGCTTGTGCGTGGTCAGCGAACGCGGACCAATTTGTTGGAAACCGGACTGCTTCGGGGAAACTACACGCAGGGTGAATCTGAAACACTTCAGTGTTGGAGCAGAAGCATGAGATACTGCCAGTGTTGCAGCAATACTGATCGGAAGGAAAGAATCGAGACGTAGTAACGAGCGAGATGTAGAGGGTCTTATATCATGGAAGAATAATACATCGCTGAAAGCGTAACCGCCGAATGCTTCTACGGTCTCTTTGCGGGTTTCTGATTGTCTACGCGAGTATTCAGATCTGTTACTGCTGCCATGTCCCCAACATTCAAGCGCTACATGCATTTCTGTCAGCAAAGTGTGGAAGTTCGGAAAGGACTCTGATGTTCGCTTCATCTTAGCAGGGTCTCTTCCATGAAATACGAGGTATCACATGCACATTACAGGCGCCTACGATTAAAAGATAGCTTATTAGAATTGAGGTAAAGGCGGTTAGTGGTTGATGCAGAAAAAAACCATGAGGGACGGTCCAGACCCCGAGGTTACTACTTTCTCGCCAGTTGATTTTAGCGTTGATGCGACTCTCATCGGTGCTGCCCTCTTCAACGCTAACGCTCTCTCTGCTAAACGGCTAGAGACCTGCGGCGAGTGGTTAGCCAGTCGGTGGGCGTGCCGCGCGGATAGCGCCACGGTGAGGACCGTGCTAGGCAGCCGAGGGCATATCCGAATTCGTTGCAAGTTTCGTGGCGGTTCTCATCCTTAGGAGGTTCGCTTTTATTCCCACAAGGTGAGTTTCCCCTTTTTTGATTTTCGTTATCGTGGGATCCTCATGAGAGGAAAACAGAACTCTATTGGCCTTAGCTTGGTTAACCTGTGAATACTTCATGCTGCAAATCATTGCCGTTGGAAATGAGACACTAGACGATTGAACGCAGTAAACACGATGGCTGTAGGGCGGACCGGTTTGACGTCGTTGGCGCCATTGGTCGATGAGAACCCTAACAAGGGAGGTCTTTCAGGACATGGAGCGCTTTTCCAAAATGATTTCCTGCACTTTGTAGAGACTCATGCGAGGAACACAAAACCATGGTCCGTTTTTCCCTTCTAGGAAGGTCAGAATAGTGGAGAAGAGATGGTCCAAAGTTCGATCCTCCGTGATGTCTAATTTTTGCAATTTATGTTGGCGCCTCCAAATTGTGTCCAAATGGCACCAGCGTCGATTAACATGTCATCCTCGTAATTTGGCGACAATTTGGAGGCTCCAACATGGATTGCAAAAATTTGTCACCACGGCGGATTGAACTTTGGACCACTTTTTGAGGTTCCCAGAAGCGTTCAGGAAAAATGGACCATAGCTTCTATGTTTCCTCGCATGAGCCTTTACATCATGCAAGGAACCATGTCGGAAAAGCGCTCCACGACCTGAAAGGCCTTAAGCGCGGTTATAACCAATTCCTATCCACTTCTAGCAGTGATGGCCAACAACACCATAAAAACCGATCCGCCATCCAGCTATCGTGTTTACTGTCTTCACTGTACGATGAGATTCCAGAAGATAAGGCGCTCTGCATGGCACAAAACTACGACGCAGTGCGTGGGCAAAATTTAGCTACGCACATCTCCATGATCGAATGAGTTTTTAGCATTCCACTCACGTTTTCCCTATCGGCATATTTCTGAGTATGCGCACTACTTCATAGTGTCGCATTCCAGTCACATTGACTCCATCAATTTTTTCAATTAACTGACCAATGGCAAGAGCTGGACGAGCACGAGCTGCAAGGCAGTGCGATCAAGAAGGCAGTAGAGAGTATAGTAGGAAGTATTGTAAGAAGTCAGTAAACAGGGGAATAAACCTATCGACTCACATGCAATGCTATCGTCTTTCATACGTTTGATAAACGAGCGGCAACGGCCATTGTCACTTACAGTAAGGCCAAAGAGTCTGCAATGAGGAGCATGTCATGTTCAGGACGTATTACGCTCATGTTTATTGGATGACCTGGACTGTTCTGTTTGGAAAGATCGAAGTGATCCATATGCTTTCTGGAGGGCTTACTAAATTATTATTGCTTTAGTGACCCGCCCTATGCCCTTGCACTTCAAGAAAGTGGGTGCAAAAGTTCGCTGTTGTCCAGAAAATGTAGACATGTATGCCAGATGTCCGCCAGTGAATAAAAAGGACGAAATGAAAGAAAACACAAGAGAATGGGCTATAATCTTCGAGGACCAAGGTTGCTGCGAAGCTTTTGCGAGTTGGACAAAAAAACATATCTTCAGCACGAAAATACCTTTCAAACCCTGTTTTATGCAGAATTTTTTGCACGTTACCTCTCCCGAATTTTTTTTGCTACTCTACGGCTTTCTCAAGGAAGAATATCCGAAGCATTCTGTTTTCTGAGATTGC